CCAACCTCAGTGCTGTCCTCTGTGGAAGGTGAAGTCCAAGGCCGAGGTGTCTTGTGCTCCCACGCCCAGCTTTAGCTAGGGTGGCCCATGGTGGGACTGATGGCTTCAGTAGAAGGCATTCCTACTCCAGTGTTCTGCAGGGAACAGTAGTAAGTATTGGAGACGTCTTCCTGTGGTGTCTCCCTCCCTAGAGGAAATGGAGTTACCTTGAAGCATGGATGACTTAAATTAGATTTTCGGAGGCCCTTATGTAATGCTTGTTGGGACCTCTTTCTGGGTTTTGGTGGGTGGATGGAGCTGACTCTTCTGAGAATGTCTCCAGAGGGAGCCCTTTGAAGGAGACTGTCTAGAGAGTGTGGCCCTGAACTTGTGGTTTAGCTGGGGGAGACACTGTATTGGGTGGGGAGTGAGAAATCTTAAAGGGACCCCGGGAAGGGGTGGAGGTGAACGGGCAGGCTGTGGGTTTTGGGTATCTGGATATTTGGAATCCTTCCATCCCCACATCCACAAACTTCATGGGTCCTGTGGCATGAAGCAGCTGAGCAAATACCTTTTTGGTTGTGTGGTTGACTTTGCCGTGTCTTGGTAGGAGTATACACAGTCTCCTTCTCGTCCGGCCAAGGGTCAACTAAATGGGTTGCCTTGGAAACCTGTCCTCTGAAGCCTTGCCCACGGATCCCCTGGAATGTTTTTCCCCCTCAAAGCTTCCAGGGTCCCCTGAAAGAAACCGTCCCAACCCAGATTCCCTTCCCCTCTTGAATTATCTCACCAAGTGTGGAGTCCACAGGCTTTGGCTGACTTGGATTCTTTTGGGCAATGTCAGGCCCCCAACTGTGGAAGAAATGCTGCCAAGGCCTCAGAGTTGCCTGAGTGTAGGATTTTCTAAAGCCCCATCTCGACGATATTACCCCGAAAAAGAGGAAAATGGCTGTGATATCCCTCAAGCCCATAAAGGTGACAACATGGTCACTCTACTGGGTGAGGCAGGTGGACCCAGATGTGTGGGTTTCTAAAAGGGAGGGGCAGTGAAGGAGTGGTCAGAATCCTCTTCTTCCTCTGGCTTTATCTCTTCTAGCCTGGCTCACCATAGCCTGTGGATCAGCTTGGATTAGCGCCCCAATGGAGTCCTCAAATCCAGCTCCCGTAGGACCGCTCAAAGATACAGTTCAGGCTGCACATTCCACGGTCCCTGGGCCAGTCACCTTGCTGTGTCACACCTAACCAAGTGCAGGAGGGGCTGGAGGGCTACAAGAAGGGAGTTGGTGGGGGAAGGTCTGTTTTCTTGGAAGGGTTTACGTGATATGACAAATGGAAGCCACCGAACCGAATGGCCTTGGAAACTTCTTCCTTCGTTAACCCACTTTGTGTTTTTATCAGCATTAGAGGCAGTGACAGGCAGACCCAGGAAAGGAAGAGAAGCTGAAATACCAGCTAAGAGCCTTTCCATGGCATTATGACCTCAGGACAGGGGCCGTCTCCTGACTCATCCATCCATCCTCTGGACCTGTTCTGAGCACTCACTCTATTCCAGAAGTATGCCGGGTACTAGGGCTGAAAAGGCATGACCACCTCTGGTCTGCTGTTCACACTCAACGGCTCATGCTGTTAATTCCACCCACCGTCCCGGACCCAAGCTCAGGCGATCAGCTTATTATATTAGAGTAATAAAAAAAAAAAAAAAAGACCCAGGACCTTTAAAATGAGTCATGCTTATTTAAGGTAGAGAAATGTACTATTAGGGATGTGGGTGAGAGGGATCTTTCAGGCATCCTGGGGGAGGGGCAGAATAGGTCATGTTGGGGGTGGTCTTTCCTCCCTTGCATTACTAGCCAAATCTCTGAAAAATTCTCCTGTACCAAAGCTCTTTCCCTGTGGAAGTATGAAGAAGAGGTCACTTTGGGGATCATGGCAGAGAATGAGGTTGTCAGAATCAAGGAAGTGAGTGGCTTGCCTGTGGCCGCCCTCAGGGGCACCCAGTACTCTCTCCTTCGGTTAATACGCTCATATTTTATCTCCGCCTATGGAAGGGCATTTTCCTTCTCACACCCCAGGAGATCCACAGGGCAGGAATTCTCTGCATCTTCCTCTACAGAGAGGCCCAGAGAGATAAAAGAACTCCCCAAAGTCTCATACTACGTTTTGCTAGAGCAGAAGGGAGAGCTTAGTTCTCCATCCCTTGGCTTCTGGATCTATGCCTCCGACTTGCTTTGCAGGGCTGGGAATGGGATAAGAAAATTTCCAGGGTTGGACTGGGGAGATAGGGTCCCCTGGGAAATCTCTGCAACCACAAGGAACCACCTGAACACTGTTTCTAGGAGGGTAACTGCACCTATGTGCTCGAGGGAGAGCTGGAAGCCGATGCCCACGTGCTGGTGGAGGAGATGGAGTTCCCTCCCGAGCTCCATGTGTGACAGGTGAGCACTGGCAGGGGCCCATCATCCATCCCTGTTCACTCTATCCCAGGTCAGCCTTTGTACAGAGGAAACAGACAGAGGGGTCTCAGACATGAGGGTTTTGGATATGGTGGCTCTGTGATATGTGTGTGTCTGAAGGGGGAACGTGAGCTTCGTTCTACCTAGCTCTGGATGGTATAGGTGATGTGGGTGGCTGTTGGCCCCACAGGACAGGAGGGTCCTCCGCGTCCACATCTCGGACACCTCGGTCATCATCCAGATGAGTAACAGCCGGGACCTGAACATGGGCTGCACTGTTTCTGAGATCTAGGCCAACCATGATGACATTGCCAGATGCAGTCAGGCTGAGGCCGAGTCCTGGTAAGGAGAGGGGCGCAGGACACTTGTCTCCTAGACATGGCAGTGGGCAGAAAGCCAGGTGTATAATAACGAGGCCTCTTTTGTCAGGTATTATGATCTCTTGGACGGCAACAGGAGGGCAGACAGCTCTCAGGTTATAGTGGTTGGGCAGGACTGCCACGTATGGTCTCACAGGCTGAGCACTGTACAACCTGCCAATGGTCTGTGGTGTCTGGGTGGGTGAGAAACTGCATCCTGAGCCTCAGGAACATCTCTGCTTCCCCCACCCCCCACCCCCCCAGTGTAAGGAGATGAAGGCCACGGTGATCCGGCACGGGGAGACCCTGCGCCGCACCAAGGAGGAGATCAGCGAGCTCAACCGCATGATCCAGAGGCTGATGGCCGAGGTTGAGAATGCCAAGTGCCAGGTAAGGGTCACCCGGGGCCTCCCCAGGCCACGCAGGCAGTGTGTGTCCCCAGTGGATCTCACCATTCATGCTCCAGGCCATCTGCACGACCAGAGTCCCTGGTTGTAGTCCCTGGGGGAGACTCAGCTGACGAAAGGGAGAGGCCTGCTCTTGGGGTGCTCCCAGCTGGGGGAGGGCTCAGACAGGAAATGGACAGAGAGACCTGGGCCATAACCCACCTTGTTCTCCTCTGGGTCCCCAGAACACCAAGCTGGAGGCCGCAGTGACCCAGTCGGAACAGCAGGGCGAGACGGCTCTGAGCGATGCCCGCTGCAAGCTTGCGGAGCTGGAGGCCGCCCTGCAGAAGGCCAAGCAGGACATGGCCTGCCTGGTCAAGGAGTACCAGGAAGTGATGAACTCCAAGCTGGGCCTGGACATCGAGATCGCCACCTATGGCGGCTGCTGGAAGGTGAGGAGCACGGGTGGGCACAGCCCTCACCGCTGTGGCAGATTCACTGGGCCTGATGCACTGTTTTGCTCCAGGACTTCTCCATTGTCCATTTCTTTTGCTGCCATCTTGGAAACTTTTCAGGGCCCCTCCCAGCCCTGAGGAGAGGCTAAGGAGAAAAGTTTTAGCTGAGGTCCACCACCTGATTTATTTATTTATTCCTTACTATTCTTTCTTTCTTTCTCTCTCTCTCTTTCTTTCTTTCAGATATTATTTATTTAATTGTCAGAGAGAGAACGCACACAGGCAGGGGGAGCAGCAGGCAGAGGGAGAACCAGGCTCCCTGCTGAGCAGGGAGGCTGATGCAGGACTTGAATCCCAGGACCCTGGGACGGTAACCTGAACTGAAGGCAGGAGCTTAACCGACTAAACCACCCAGGTGTCCCACACCACCTGATTTCTAACACGCCTCTTGTATGATTTCGTTAAGGACAGCCGCTTGCTGGTAAACGTTTAAGAACCAGCTCTTGGGGGGAAGAAAATGCCCTTTTACAGTGCTTGCCAATTTCAGTGTGTAATCTCTTCTGTCCTGGCTGACTGCGGCTTCATGAAGGGTGGGCTAGAAATGTGCAAAATATTAGACAGTGGGAAGAACATTCTAGCTCTGAGGGTGGAGAGACCCAGGGAGAAGGGGTTTCCTTCTTTTCTTGTCCCACAGTGATGAAGAAGAAGCTGGATGGCAGGTCGTGAGTGGACCAGTTCCTCACCCCACGCCTGTTGACGTGCAAGTCTTACTTTCCCGTTGTTAGGAAGCTCACATTTTCTCCCTGTCCAAGCACACTTGTCCACATTCAAGATGTCACTAAACTGACGTTAGATGGACTAAACCAGGGGTTTCATCAGCTCGGTTGTCACCAGGCAGATCTTCTTGAAGTCAGTGGCAGAAGAATAGATTAAGAAGGGATTGAGATTAAACCACAAGGTGGACTCCCAGTAAAGCGTGGGAGTCTGGGGAACAGGCCACAGGGAAGCTTCTGTTGGCTTTCTTTATCATTGGTGACTAAGCAGGAGACATCCCATCCATCTGGGTGCCCTTGGCTGGTAGGGAGGGGTTCTAGGTGGTGGCGGCTGGCTGTTTGGGACCAGCTCCACACCCCCGCCAATGGTTTGGACTTCTTACTATCCCTGTGCTGGTGTGGTGTGAGCAGCTTTCGGCTGGATCTGTACGTGGGGACCTCTCAGTCATCCGTTCCTGTGGCATCAGGTGCTGTGGGATAGGAGATGTGACAGCAGCTCTAAAAAGTATCAAGCTGGCTGGGATTGATGGAACACCACGCTCCCAGCCCTCACACCCTCCCTGAGGACCCCAGTTGGCCCTCTACTCAACCCGCCATGGAAGTAGGGTATAACCTTTTGATCTCACCGTGGGCCATCTCCCATGCTGTCCACTTCTCATTTCTTGTTGTGTGGGACTCTCCCTCCTTGTCTCCTGTCTCCCTCAGGTCGAGGAAGGATATTGGGAGGAGAGGCACATGGTATGTTCTGTTGGAGGAATCTGGGCTGCCTGACTCCTGAAAAGGACTGTCCCTCAGCTCCCATCCTTCACCCTGACCCGCCTCTGAACTCTTGCTAATCCCTTCCTTTCCTAGGTCTTCCTTCCCTCCATGCTGTCGGTGCTTAAAGTCACATGGTTCCTGTCATGCTTTTGATCTTTCTGTACATTCTTTCTGTCCTGGAAAGGGTGGGTGGGATTTCTAGGAGGACATTCAATGTGCTAAGGTCATTTCAGCTATTTATTCAAGTGAGTGTCAAGGTTGGAGACACTGAGGAGGGGTGTTGTAATGGCTCAGGGCTCCAGAGGAATGCTCCAGTGTCAGAATATGTCTGGCCCAGTGTTGGCTTGTAGTGGGCCCTGAGAAATGTTAAGAGAATACATGAATTCATCTCTAAGGTTTCCAGTTTCCCACAGGACATCTCCACTTAAATGTTGCACTGATTTTTGGAATTCAAAATGCCTTGAAATCACCTCGTTGTTTCCCCCTGTACTGATGCTCACTTGTCAGCTTAGCCTCTTTCTACCAGTTCTTTCCAACACTCCAGCTTCAAACCCTTTGATACCATTTTCCCCACCCAAAGAGTCACAGAAATATACCTGTTTTTTCCTTTGAAAAATGCCACCAGGAACTTCTTTCCTTGCAAAATGTCAGACTAGGACCTCTGGAAAATCCTTTTGTCATTAGTCACTTACAGTTCTGAAAAATATACTTAAAAAATATATTTTAATGCACCATGGAGCTAGCAAGAAGGTATGACAAGTTAGAAAGAGGAACAAAATGGAAATTCCAGAATTGCCAAGTATAATCATTGAAATGAAAAGTTCAATGAATGGGCTTAATGAAAGATTGAAGATGTCAGGGGGTAGGGTCAGTATACTGAAGACAGATGAGTAGAAATTTTCCAATCTGAACAACAGAAAGAAAAGATCAAAGAAAAACTAACAGAGCCTTGGAGACCTGTGGGACAGAATCGGATAATCTATCATATGCATACTTGGGGTTCTAGAAGGAAAAGGGTGAGAATGATGTGGGAAAATATTTGAAGGAATACTCTTCATATTTGATCCAAGAACTCTTGTAGTGGCCAAGAAGACAACTGGCTGTTTAAAGCAAAAATAATGATATTGTTTATAACATTTGTAGAAGGAAAAGATCTGGCAATGATGACACAGATGATGGGAAGGTGGGCCAATGAATTACACTGTCATGAAGTATGGAGTAGCACAGTATTAATTCCAAATAGACTCTGATAATTAATTTATTTATTAAATTTATTAATAAATTTTTATTTATTAATTTATAATTAATTTATTATAAATAAAAATAAAACATTTAAAAATTTTTGTTTTTTAAAAAAGATTTTATTTATTTATTTGAGAGAGAGAAAGAGTGAGGAGAAAGAGAGAGAGCTCGAGTAGGGGGGAGGCAGAGGAGCAGAGGGAGAAGCAGGCTCCTTGCCCAGCAGGGAGCCTGATGCAGGGCTTATCCCAGGATTCTAGGATCATGAGTTAAAGGCAGACAGTTAACTGACTGAGTCATCTGGGTGACCCCAAAATAAGATATTTTAATAGAATAAATAATGTTAAGTATTTAAAAGTATTTGATTAACTCAAAAGCAAGCAGAAAGGAACAAAAGAAGAGGAGGACAATTGTCTCACCTGAGACAAATTAAGAAACAAAAAACAAGATGGCTGACTCAAATCCAATCACATAATAATTACATGAGGTGTTTATGTTAAAAACTAACCCCTCAAAACAGGAAGACAAACAATTCAGTGAAAATGGGCAAAAGATTTCAATCAACAGTCTACAAAAGAAGATGTATTAAGGGCCAAAGCCCCATGGGAGCTTGCTCATCATTATTAGTCATCAGGGAAATCTGCTATGAGAAAAATCCAGCAGCCATGAGAAGGCTAACATTTAAGAGACCAAGGATACTAACTGTGGAGCAGCTGGAGCATTCACGGAGAATGAAATGGTACAGTCACCTCAGCAAATGGTTTGGGAATTTCTTATCAAGTTAAACATATACTACCAAAGGACAAAGCAATTCCACTCTTGGATATTTGTTCAAAAGAAACGAAAGTAGGTTTACATAGAGACTAGTACATGAATCTCATAGGGGCTTCATTTAGAATAGCCCCCAATCGGAAACAACAGGTGGATGGACAAACAAAACTGAGATATTTTTATACAACAGAACATGACCCAGACATACAAAAGAATGACCTACTAATTCAAGAAATGACATGGATGAGCCTTAAAAACATTGTGCTGAGTGAAAAAGTCAGACACAAAAGAGCACATACTGAATGTTTGCTTCTATTCAAACGAAGTTCTAGAAGTGGCAATACGATCCTATGGTGATGGAAATTGGGTGAGTGGTTGTCGGGGGTGGGGTGGGGAGATGGGCTGCAAAGGGAGAACAGGGAACTTTCTGAGATGGTGGAAATGTTCTGTACATTCATTCAGTTGTGGTTAAATGGGGCATGCATTTTGTCAAAACATGTTGGACTATATGATATGTGTGCCTTTTATTGTGTGTATTTTTTATATCAATAAATTAATAATAGAATAGAATAAGAAATACTAATTATTTTTATTGATTATTTTATTATTAATAATTAATATTAATAGTTATTTCTCTAAATAATAAAGATTAATAAAATGACTTAAAAACCCAGTCTAACAAATATGTGAAAGATGTATATCTTTTTAAAATTTTTTTTATAATTTTTTTTTTTATAAACATATAATGTATTTTTAGCCCCAGGAGTACAGGTCTGTGAATCATCAGGCTTACACACTTCACAGCACTCACCATAGCACATACCCTCCCCAATGTCCATAACCCAACCACCCTTTCCCTATCCCCTCCCCCCGGCAACCCTCAGTTTGTTTTGTGAGATTAAGAGTCTCTTATGGTTTGTCTCCCTCCTGATCCCATCTTGTTTCATTTATTCTTTTCCTACCCCCCAATGCCCCCACGTTGCATCTCCACTTCCTCATATCAGGGAGATCATATGATAGTTGGAAAGATGTATATCTAAAGAAATATAAACATTATACTAAATGAAAGATAACAAAGAAGCTCTAACTAAATGAGGAGTTAGATCGCATTCATATTCAAAATTCAATTGACATATATTATATATAAAACATAGCATATATTATATACATATCAGGTATGTTTTATGTACAATATTTTAATTATAATATATAATATTGCATACACACATAGACACACACATATGTATAATATATAATATGTATAGCATATAAATAAGGATATGGTACAACATACATTATATATAAAACACATCATGTATTATAAACATATGTATTTTATGTATATAAAATACATAATATATGTCAATTTAGGGGCTATCTAGTTTGTTCCATTGATCATTTGTCTATTCTTTTGTGTATATATTATATAAATATATTAAATATGTTAAGTATATATAAATATAATATATGATGGGACACCTGGGTGGCTCAGTTGGTTGAGTGTCTGATTCTTTTTTTTTTTAAGATTTTATTTATTTGAGAGAGAGACAGAGTGAGAGAGAGAGCATGAGCAGGGGGAGGGGCAGAGGTAGAGGGAGAAGCAGCCTCCCCGCTGAGCAGAGAGCCTATGTGAGGCTCCATTCCCAGACTCCAACATCAAGACCTGAGTTAAAGGCAGATGCTTAACCCACTGAGCCACTCAGGCACCCTGAGTGTCTGACTCTTGACCTCAGCTCAGGTCTCGATCTCAGGGTCATGAGCCTGAGATTCATACATCATCATGTATGAATGTACAACTAACGTTATATGTAATATATAGTTATAGATATACTTTATATATCTATGTCTGTATCTTTGATATGCAACAGCAGTGACAGTGAAGATCAGTAGTAAAGGAGGGACTATGCATTGGTTATACGCATGGGAAAAAAATGGAACTGGAATCCTGCCTTCTATTATACACAAAATCAATTCCAAGTCAATTCAAATTATAAATGTCAAATGCAAGACTTTTAAAAGTTTTAGAAGAAAAAACTGGTGAATGTCTTTTTGACCTTGGTATAAGGAAGGGTTTTTTTTAAGTTTAAGTTCTTATTTCTTCATTTGAGAGGAAGAGCGAGAACACGAGAGCACAAGCAGGAGGGAGGAGGGAGAAGAAGACTCCCCACTGAGCAGGGTGCTGTCGTGGGGCTCAATCCCAGGACCCCAGGATCATGACCTGAGCGAAAGGCAGAGGCTCAATGGACTGAGCCACCCAGGCGCCCCTATAAGAAAGGATTTTTATGCAAGGCACACTGAATGCTTAATATGAAGGAAAAGGTGGGTAAAGTAGACATTAAAATTAAGAACTTTTATTCATCAAGTAGGGACAAGGTGAAAAGACAAGCCATAAACTTGAAGGTGATATTCATGATACATGTAAGTGACAAAGTATAATATATAGAAATAGAGATTTATATAGAAATATAAAAGTACTTAGAATCTAATAAAAATAAGGCAAACAACCCAAAAGAAAAATGGCAAAAGAAAAGGAAATCCATAGAGATAATAAACATTTAAAGAGATATTCAGCCTCGATAGGACTCTGAAAATGCAAAGCAAAACCAAAAATAAAACTGATTATATCCTTTCATTATTAAAAATTAAGACGTGTCAGAAAAGATATGAATCTGAAATCTGATCAAAGTCTAAATTGTTATTACAGCAGCTTTGGAAAATAATTTTTGTCTTGTATTATTGAACATTTGATCCAGAAACTGCAGTCCTAGACATGTAACACAGAGAAATCCTCACATATGCTCAACAGGGGACATTCAGAAAAATATTCATAGGACCATCTTTGTAAGAGAAAATAGAACAAAACAAAACAATAACAGAGTTACATAAAGTATTGTGTATTCACTTAATAAGATGCTATGAATCCTC